CAAGAAAACACATTTCCATATCTTTCTTATTAGAAATAAACACCTCCAGTATGAAGTGAAAATTTAATATAATTCCAAGTAGTGATTGGAAACCGGGACACAGACCTGGAACCAGGCAGGGCCAGGACCCAAGTAACCAGTCAAACGCAGCTAAATCTCAACAAGACTTGGCTTGTCTCTCAATGACGTTATTTGGTCAAGTCAAATCGATTGGACTGCCAATTGAATCAGTTGGACTAGATTTTTAAAAGATATAGAAAAGTGTTTTGTTAGGCTACACCACTTGGTGGTGTATACCCTTAAAGTGCTCAACATTTTGGACACTAAAATACCTTTGAATTGTAATACAAAATTTTTCAAGTAGGGGCATTTTTGGTTATTTAGAAGGGTGGAATGGATATTTTTATAAGAAAATAATGGCATTCTATTAGTAGTTAAAAACAATTCATGCATCTTGTGGGTGATGTCAGACATCATATCGGTGATGCCATTATCCACTATTGTTAATAAATGCTTTTGTTTCTATTAGAAATTTTTAGTTTATTGTTGACTAATTACTTAAAATACCTTTAAACAAAAAATTACTATACTATAGGATAATGGTATCTAAATGTCTAAAAATGTTGAGCATTTTAAGGGTCTACACCACATGTGGTGTAGCCTAACAAACCCTGTAGAAAAAGTAAGAATGGAAGATGTACGGAAGAGTTGCCCAATCTTGTTTAGCCGGTTTAAATTGTTAAAATTGGCTGCTTTGACTGGCCAAACTTGGTCAAATGTTGTTCTGATTGGTTTTTTACTATAGTTGGTTTTTGTTTTGAGCTATACCAGCTAAGGCATTGGTTTGCAGTCCAACCAGCAGGTCCGGTCTAGCTTGATGACACTGTTGTGCACTCTGTTCAATTGTGATAATTTGTGCACGATAGATCTGGATTGTTTCTTATACCACAATGTTGCATTTTGAAAATGTATCTATTTTAGATTTGAAATCACTGGCATAAAGGAAGAACATTTGAAGGATGCAATGCCCGTGAATCAATTAAGACATGAGATTGAGGAAATATTGTTCAATGGGGAGTCCAGTGGGAGAGTTTGGCTGGATGGTGGGAAAGCGAGGGTCCTTGTTGGCCATAGTTTACATTATGACATCGTGTCTCTTGACATGGATTACCCTTCACACTTGCGCAGGTATGATCTCATGAGTTGGCAGATTTGATCATCACCCACGTTGTCTATCTTCCTTCTATTTTAAGCTCTGTCAAAATAGCTGATTCTTATTGCCATAAGAAAAAGGCAAAATTCTGATTTACTATTTTGCAATTTATGACTTTGGTTAGGGACTCTGCTGAATACCTGCCCTTCATGAAGACAAATAAGAGCAGCCACTCGCTGAAGTACCTCACAAAAACTTATCTAGGGTATGTATCTCTTATTCCCTTCATGCAAATATCTGTAGTCCCTGTTAATGGATGCATATCTGTGTGTGTACGTGTGTGCATGTGTGTGGGAGAGAGAGAGAGAGAGAGAGAGAGAGAGTAGTTAGTTAGTAGTGTATTGTTAGTTACGTAGTACGAGTATACTATCGTGGTGTCGACTAGTACGACCTATAGTAGGAACGGTCGTTGGTGGTCGGTCGTGGTAGTAGTAGTAACGTTAACTTTAAAAGTAAAAGTAGT